TTGGTGGATTATGTTCAGTCAACAAGAGCGAGATCGAGACAAATAGTGGTAGAGACAGCTGCAGGTAAGTGATGGCAGTATGTGAAGAGGAGAAGAGGGCAGGACCACACTTATTTTCCAACAGCAAATTGTGACAGTCAGATCTGTTGAGAACATAACTTGAGGAGACCGTACAGGGCTGGGGGGAAGGTAGCAGACTATGAGGAGATGGTCAGTCAAAGATGTTTCAGAATGAAATGGGAACAGTAATATTTTGGTCTTCTTTATTTTTTTTGTAATAGGCAGATTGTGGCAGAGGTGATATAAGAGAAAAGAAATAGAGATTATAAATATACAGCGTTGGAACAAATGGAAGGAATAGCTTAGATGTTGTGGGTCCACAGTACACCATCTTTGGTATCCCACAGTACAGTGAAACTTGGTTAAGAAAGTGAATAGAAAAAGAATATGATTTGCAGTGTCATCTTTTAAAGTAGTCATTTGTGATACAATTACAATAAGTAGACTAGACAAGTAGATATAGCCTGTCTTTTCCCAAATCATTAATCTGAATTAATACAGTTCTATGACTCATTGATCCTTTTAAATAATGAAGTGTAACAGGCAGATAATCAGTTCTGTAAGGGTCAGCATTTTGATATTCCTTGATCCTTCCCAGTGAGATTGTCAACTCCAATTGCCACATAGCAGAACCCCAAGTAGTTAAAGCCTTTTACATAATTTTAAGACTTTGTAACCATTGGCCTCAAATTGCCTCTATAAGTGCAACATCTCTGATTCAACAGTGGCTTGTAACTTGAGGGTGAGGAAAAAATGGATCCAGTGTGTTTTTAAAAACTTCTAATGCCAACATAGGTACATATAAAGGTTTGAATCTTTCCTGTCATTTATGGTCCTGAGTTAAATGTACCTTTATCCAGGTTTTTATGAACTTTTAAACCCTGAAGGTGGGCATTCTGAAGAACCTTTGTATCCTATTTTTGTAAGAGTAGATAACTGTTTTCTTTTCACCCAGGTTGGATCAGATGTTCTCAGATGCATTTAGCAGAGATCATCAACTAATTCAAGCAGATCCAAAGCACAGCCTCTACCTGGCCTGTGCACTTCTTGTTCGAGGAAATGTGCAGGTTTCAGACCTTCGCAGAAATATTGAAAGGTTTGTAATACCACACAGAGTAGTCGTGGGATTTTTATGGAACCTGGCAGTTGTCCAAAGTATTACAATTTTTCATTGAACAGTTTCAATACCAAATCAGTTTAGTCCAACCTCCTTTTCTTAATTTTAGAATGGAAGAAAACATAATTAACTTATGTAATGAGTGAAAAAAGTCATGTTATTCCTGGATTTCCAAATAAAGGAAGGCGCTACTCCTCTCTTTCTCCAAATTGCAAAAAAAAAGCAAAGCACAGCCTTGCAGGGGTTTCCCAATAGCAAAGGATGTTGGAGTAATGAGTTCTGTAGTAGAAGTTTGTTTTTGCTGAACAGAAGCCCCTTCTCTTTCCATGGTTACTTTCATGTAGGTAGGAAATCATCTTTACTTGAACAATTCTGTGTTGTTAGCATCCATTTTCTACCTTGAACAGTATTGAGCTACTTATATGTAACAGGAAAGGCAGGCAAAATGGAATTTATAGGAAGACAGGGGTGCATGGGGAAAATTTTTGGGAATCTAAAGTATTTTACTTATTTCAAAACTACAGGTAGACTGATTGCCCCTTTACTAAATCTCAGAGTGCTTCCAGTCCCTTTTATAGAAACAGGTACTTGTAACTTCACTTTTCAAATCCTGATGCATTAAATTAACAAAACACAATTGATGTTTGCATTTTAAATTTAACATAGAGACACAGTGGTTTAGTCTGAAGTCTAAAATATCTTATTCACAGTGATAGTTATAACTGTCCTCCTTAATCCTGGGTGCTTAAATGTTAACCTTTTCAGACTGTTAGTTGAAACTGTTAGTAGTTAGCCTTTGTGTTCTTTATTTTCCTTAGTTAACTAATTTTTTGTATCACAGGTTGAAGCCTTCTCTGCACTTTGTCTCCTGGAACCAAGAGGGCTGGAAAACTGGTTTGTGTTCAGTACCTCCTGTGGGCCATTCCCATTCCCTTTTGGCTTTAGCAAACAACACCTGTATAAAACCAACTTTCATTGAACTCAAAGACAGATTTATGAAGCTCTACAAGAAAAAGGTGCAACTCTTATCATAATAACATCTGTAGTCACTAATCATTAGCATCTTGCGTTATTGAAGCCCAGATCTTAGTGTCGTGAAGGGACTGTTACTAATTAATAGCCCAAGGGTTTTATTTGGGTGACCAGTTGACTCAAAGCCCCATCCAACCTGGCCAAGAACACTTGCAGGGATGGAGCATCCATAAGTTCTCTCGGAAACCTGTTCCAGTGCACAGTAAAGAATTTCTTACTAATATCTAATCTAAACTCTGGAGTCCATCAAGCTTCTTCTCATTTCGCTTCTTCAGCAGGACAGGAGAAAAGTACAGTGAAAAACTTCTGGGTCAAGATAAAGACAGGGAAAACAACCACCAGTTATTGCCATAGGCTAAACAGATTTGGCATTTGGAAAACTAATTTCATTTATTGCCAATAATAGTAGAGTAGGACGGCAAGAAATAAAAACAAAGCTGAAAGCACCTTCACCCCCATTCCACTGCCTTCTTCCCAGCTTCAGAATTCCACTTCTCTTCCTTCTTCACTGATCTTAGTGTCTGCAGGCTGTTTCTCTCACATTTTCTTGAGTCTTCTCTGTCACAGCTGTTGTGCAGCATTTTTACCCCTTGATAAATACCTTGTCGCAGAGGCATTACCAGCATCACTAATGGGCTCAGCTGTGGTCAGTGGCAGGTCCATACTGGAACTGGCTGGGATGGTTTGTTCAGCATGGGGGCAGCTCCTGTTATCTTCTCACCCCCCTGCAGCCCTGCGCTCTGCCTGCTGCCAAAACCCTGCCATGTAAACCAAATCCAGCTGGTCAGGTGTACCCAAGAACACAATATAAAAAGATGGGGTTTTAAGAAGTCAGTAATATTGACTGTGATTCACTAGGGGATTGTTGCCAAACTTGCCAAGTGTTTAAACAAGGGATGTCATGATACAAGTCTCTTAAGTGCCGTTTCAACAATACTTGTGCTTCCCCCTTCAGTACAGGCTAGCTAGTATTTGCTGAGACAAAGCAATCAAATACCAAGAAAAGGATAACACTGAATTTTATTTTTTTTTTTGTTCTCTTAGGCTCACCTTCACCATTATCTGCAAATAGATGGGATGGAGCAAAGCTGTTTTTCAGAAGCTATATCCTCTTTGTCTGACCTAATAGAAGAGTACAATGAATTGGATGCTACAAAAGGTGGGCCTAGAATAGATCCTTCAAGACTGAAGATAGCTGTTTAAAGGAAGAACTGATTTTGAAAACAACAAGAAAAAAGCACTTTCCCTAAACATCCAGCCACTTCAGTTAACCAGAATGACTTGCAGCATGCCTGGCTATTGTAATTCCAAAGTGGGACCAGCACAACAGCTTCCTTACCTCAAGTGCTGTCTTTAAGTGGTGAGCCATGCCTGTGAGAAAGATTTGAAGGCACCTAATTGTGGCTGGAATCAGTAAGGATAATCCTGACACACCATATGCTGTGAAGAAAAGGAGGAGAGATTTTATGTAGCAGCCAAAACTGTAATTACTTTCTCAGACTTTCAACTTACAGTAAATTCGATGTTGGTCTTGCTTCAAAGAAGGATCACCGTTGCTAGATTTCATTTTTACAAGCGACTACGAAGAAAAGAAAAGCCCATGTAGTCTTTTCAAAGATGAAAGCAAGTCTCTAATGAAACTGCTTTCTTACACTTTGCAGTAGACATTTCAGAATGCTCTAAGCTATGTTCCTCATTTTAGTATTTCTGCTCCTATCTTGTACTTAGCTATACTAGAGGATTCTCAGTTAATACCAAAATTGACTATAACAGAAAATTTAAAAAAATAAATTTGGTTTCAAGTATTATGCTTGGAATGTTAATTAATATTTAAATTATTCATATTCATGAATGCGGAGTTGCACTTGATAATGAGATAATACAGAATACCTCTCAGCAAAACATGTACTTAGGATGAAGTTATAATGACCATTTGGAGAAAAAGCACTTATAGCCTTGAAAGAATGCAAGTAAAATAGATGTTTTAATATTTATAATTATCAGGGTATCAAGCAGCTTTTTATATTACAGTAAGAATTTTTACAAAATGGAATATACAGCTATTTCCAGTTGCTTGCCAGTGAACTGTTACAGACCAGAATGGATTGATGCAATGATTTCTTGAAATCTGAAGTCCTTCTAGCACAGTTGGAGTGGATATGTAAGTAAGCACAATTTTGACTGTATGAGACCAGAAGTATTTAATAAAGTATTGTGATAACATTTGTTGAGAGCATTTTTAAAAGTAGAAATTTCTAAATATAGAAATTTTCTGAAGTCTTGCATCTATTATCTGCAGTTGCCTACTTATTTGTTCCTTTGCACATCCAGTGTTTATATCCATAACACTAGAGAAGGACTATCTGTTGCAAAAAGCAGTCTGAGTTTAAAGTTGACGACTTCTGTTTCAATGTTTCAGCATTGATGTGTTTTACTATTTCAGATGTATAGCAGAAAATGTTAATTTAAGAATGAAGAATGATAGATTAAGTATTACAGGGCAATTTTTTTCCTAAGAGGTTGGAGCATCATTTGTATTCATAGGCAAAAGCTTGTTACAATGGGGTATGAATGCTGTACCTTTCACAAGTCACCCAGAGTTCTTGTTTGAGCACTGCTGGTGTTAGATACATTCCTGAGAAGGATGTATCTCCCCATGTAAAAACAGTTACATTTAAAAAGATGCCCTCTGGCGTTTTACAGGTGCTATTTAACAAATTAGTAAATATTCACATGTGTAGTTTTATTGTAAACACTGCTGTGGCAGGGGGTTATGCTGACTCTTCAGGGTGTGAATGTACTGTTGCACTCCATGTGTTACAGTCAATGGTGTACTTTGTCATAGAAGTTTGAGTTGGGAAAATATATCTCCTGGAGCACTGCAAATCCTCTGACACACACATGATGTTATCCACATCATCTTCCACCTGAAGGAGCCTTCATTGGGACACTCAAACTGTACAGTGATCATTTTGGACTTGTTAGGTATGCAGCACCTCTTGTCCAAGCACACTCCACAGAAAGTTAGTTTGTATCTTTGCGTAGTTGAGCATCCAGAAAAAACTAGCTTCTCTGCTGTTGGAAGCTGGAAAGTTGGTTGACATGTTTTTCCCTTTGGAATCTTTAATATTAAAACAAAGAAAACCCTGAACATTAATAGCAGATCATGTAAGAAAAAGTTGCAACATTTACTTATAAATATCTTGAGAGTTACTCAATCTGAAAGCTTCCTGGTTTTTCGTTTGTCAGTAAACCAACAGGAGATACTTTCAGAGTGACTGTGCATCAGGACAGCATTAGCAGCACTTATATTTCAGGACATTACATTCTTTTGTTTGAAGTTGCACATCTGTAGTTTGCTATTGAAACATGAACATTAATGGTAGAAAACATAGAAGATTTATTTTAAAACCCGTAAAAAAGAAAGAAGTAAATGTTTTATTAGTACTTGCTAATGCATCCATTTTTCCATTAGTTCCAATATTTTAATTTCCTATTAGGAACTAATTTTATGCTAGAAAATACCTTTATTTTCTTCAGCATCTTGGTCAGACAAGGCTGGATGAAGCATAATCTCTTTTCTTTTTTCATTTCACATTTTCGGTTGTCGTTGGTCACTCTGCTGGATATGCCTATGCCACAGGTACTGGAACAGGGTGTCCAGGGAGTTGCCTGTATGAGGCACTTCTTCTTCAAAACTAGTGGTAAGCTTCTGTAAGCTAAGACAGCAATATTTTATTTATGCAGCCCCAAAAGGATGAATTGAAAATACAAGGATAAGAATTTGATTTCTGTTGATGAAGGTACTTCTGTAGGTAAACCTAAAAATGAGACATAAATAACATTTATACAAAATTCAGCTGAGCTGCAGTTAAACGTTGCTGATACTGGACAGTCAGATCCTACCAAGGACTATGAAATTGCATGTATTGTGTGACCTTCCAGTTTCATGTGATGGAAATGTTGTGAGAAAAGACTTAATTGTGGAATTTTTATGAAATGTCCAGATTTTGCTTTTATTTTAGGCCAAGCATAGTTTGTAAAGGCGGCTGAGAACATTAATATTTGTGTCTTTGTAGATATTGATAAGACTTTAGGTTTTGTATTGAAGAATAAAATTATCCAATCACTTTTAGATACCACTAAAAAGTCTGAGGGCTCGATTAGGTGGAGTATACTTTAGAAATGAAACAAAATTGCTGTGGAAAAGTTCTACAAAAAAACTATGTGGCATCTATGCATTTATGTACATGTGCATTTATATAAGAGCACATGCAGAATCACCTGGAATTACCAGAACTGCTGTCTGCTTAGAAAGCAGACAACAATTTAAAGATCTCATTGAAGCAAGCATTTTAAAAGCCTGTCACGGATCTGCAACAAATAAAAGGAAGTTAAATGGTCGTTTATACTTGGTACATTTTTTGAAGTATGACCTAGTTACATCTCTGTGTATCTGAATTAGTTAAATCAAATTGAAATGGAAAGCCAGAAAACAAAGCAAGAGGAGTAAAATGAAACTTAGCACTTACTACCCACGCTAGCAGAAAAGGGACTTTTCAAAATACATATTTGCCCATTGAGCCATCCATGGAATTCATGGACAAGTTGACAAGATACTTCTGCTGGACTGGGAGGGGGAGGACTTTACTTGGAAAAAAAATTTCCAGGTGTTTTTCTTCAGAAGATTCCCAAAGATCAGCATCCTACAGCATGTACAGCCACCACAGGGAGAGGGTGTTGGGTCCCTGAACCGAGCCCAACAGAAAGTGTGCTTTGCCAGCTGCCATAGCTCTCATGGCTATGCTGTGCAGCTGATCCAAATTCCAGAATAAATGATGATGTGTTACAGTCAGTGAAGGAGTTACTCAAGGTTGGACTTTAGCTTTTGGGTCTGCTGAAGGGCTACAAAGTAAATGGTTTGATGCTGTTCTCCAGATATCTGAAATATGGTTTGGGGTGAGATGTATTTCAGAGGCTCACGTGGTTTGGTTGCTGTTGTTTGCAATGCATTGAGGTCTCTCTTCAATCAGATCAGCACTGTTCTCTAGAAATTGAATCTCTCTTCTCTTGAAGTCAGTTGCTTTACCAAATACGTGTTTATACAACAGCATTAAGTGTAATTCTGTTAAAAGGCTTTGATACTAGATACAGGTATTGTATCATAATTTGAAGTAGGATGAACTTTTTTTATTTTGGCTTACTTGTGTGACCACTGCGTACATGTGAGAAGTTGTCCAAACTGGACTTCAGGTTTGTAAGCAGGTCTATTTACCTGCAGACTGATGGATGTGCATCTACTCAGCAGCCTTTGATAAAGTTTTTCTGATAAGCATTACAATCCTTTTATTTTATTGGTCCATAATGATTCAGTGATTCAGTCTGCCACCAAATAAATGGCTCTGCTTTCTGTTAGCATTAGCTTCATTAGCTATATTAGCTGTAACAAAGATGACTTTCACCATGGAAAGTTGCACATGCCTAGGGAAGGAGATGGCACAAGCATAGCAGCTGTGGCCAGGGAAGGGCTGGCATAGCTGCTTCTGGCAATGGTGCTTCCTTAGAGGGCAGAAGAAAACTAGTGTTAGCAGCAGAGCAAGAATGGAGTTAGATGGAATATCCACTGACCCTGGCAGAGTTGCATGGACAAGCCAATGAATGCTTTTGATCAGACTCAATGAAGGACTGGGGGGAGTATTGTTATTGCAGTGACAAAAATTTGTGAATGTGGGAAAGCCACTAAGGCAATTTTTATAATTTTCTGCTTTCTATTAAAAGAAGAGACCTGTGTCACGTTAATATATGTATGTGAAAACCAAAACTGGCTAACACCACAAAGCAGGGAAAAGTGGGGCAGTTCCCAGGCTGCAAAATGGCTGTCCAGCAGCATCCCTAATTGGGCTGATCCGATGAGCAGCAAACCTCTGCAGAAAGATGCTTTGGCCAATTCCCTGGTGACAGAATCCAAAAGCCTTTTTGCTTTTCCCATTTATTAGGTTTAGAGAAATGAGTCTGTGACCTGAGAGTAAGAAGGGTAAGTGGGACATAACAGCCACCCTGGCAAAGGCCTTGAGCAAGAACTGGGCAAGTGCCAGTGTGCTGCCTGCCTGGCTGCTGGAGCCAGGGACACGAAATGCAGAAAGGCTCGTGTACAGAAAAGATTACAGTGTAATCAGGCTCACCTGACATCAGTCTGTAGTTGCTTGATTGAAGTTGCTTGTGCTGTCCCAGGCCACAGATGGATTGTCCTGGCTTCTTGCTGCCTGGGACCCTGGTACAGGGGCTTCCTGCTAATCTTGGTGTGAATACAGGGGTACATCCGATTGTACCACTGACACACAGGCACTTATATAGCCGGTTGGGCTGAAAGGTCTGCCCGTTGGCGTAATAAACTCCATTGAGCTCACATCCTACAGCTACCAGATCTGAAAATGGTGAACAACAGTTACTAACATGGGAGGAGCACATGGGTCTTGCTAAACAGGGTGCTAAAATGTGCTCAGTCTTTATGGCATCCACAACTTTGTAAATCAGACATCAACATGTCTGCCAATAACAGGCTTGTGCACAATGAACTGGTTTCACTGATGTAGTTTACAGTCCCAGCCCTACTCTCAGATTCTCTGACTGAGCAGTTGGAGGATAAATTAGGATAAATTCTTTAGCACAGAGCTGTGCAGCACCTGCAAGCAGAGTTTTCCTCCAAAACCATTCACCTGGTGGTCCCCACCCTCTTGGATTTCAAGAAGGGAATATGAAAGAGCAACTTACATGCACACACGCCTGTTTCATACCTAGGCTCGTCTTCCGAGTAGTCGCAGTAGAGCCCTTTGTGGGGATCACAGACGTCTGCTTCATTGCAGGGCTCTCCTGCCTGCTTGGCACAGACCTTACAGCAGCCACAGCCATCCTTCACCAGGCTGACCCCGGGGGTGCAGGCTGGCACCGGTGGGCATCGGCACGGCCAGCGGCAAACCTCCTTGCGCTGAACTTCACCAGTTTCTGAAGGTTTATCTCCAGGCTGCTCTGGTGGGCTGTGGGAAAACTTAGACAGAGTGGGCTGTTTTGAGCACTGAATGCAGTATGTGTAGCTGGAATAGCATAAAATGAAGTCAAGATGGAAAAAAACTGACAAGTTGCATGAAAATATGCAACGTTTCTCATTTCACAAGATAAAAAAGTGAGAAAAGCTATGAGGTTTAGGTAGAAGGCAGAGGACCATTTTCATCAGTGTCGTACATTAAGATGTTCCACCAGTGAGCCTGACCTACTGCTTGTACAAAACACAATTCACTGGTCTTTCCTTTGCCTTCTATAGAACAAAACTGAACAGATTTTTTTTTTAAAGTATTTTAAAGTAGATGGTGTTTTTACTGTAAGTATTTCTTCTAGAAACCTTCTATCAAGTTAACAAGCTTTTGATTCCTCACATTTTTTATAGCCAGCCACAGTCCTGTGTGCCAGTTCTGATAGCAAGATCCTTTTAAAATAGGGAGGCTCTTTTGAATGTTACTTTTGCTCCAAAATTTGAGTGGATGGTTGAGAAGGAGCATTATAATATTTACAAATGCTCTTGTGCTAGATGCAAAAAATTAATCTTAGTAAGGCAGGCAAGTAGCTGTACTGAGTTTAATAGGTCACTTTCTAAGAGTGCATTTATTTGCATGACTAAGCCTTCATTGAATCCAGAACTTACGGAGCAAAAACACATCTCATTAAAGAGATTTGTATCAGCAGCAGGAAGTCAAGATCTAGCCAGAATTTACTGGTTTTCACATTCTGTCTCAGAATTCATGTCTTTTTCTTTTTTTTAATCTTTGTTTTTATTCTTTGTTTTTCTTTTTAATTCTTTTTTTTTTTCTTTTTTTAAGTAAAGGAAGGACAAACTAATTCTTGATGGGCTTATTTTTCTGAGGCATGGGGGCAGATTAAGTTAGCACAGTGTGAAAGGATCTATTTGAGATAGCTATAGTCTATCTGCATTTTTTAAGAACTACAACTAAAACTTAGCAGTTTAGATCTTAGCATTAAATCTTTCCATGCTGCTGATTTCAGCAGAAATGCAGATCGTGGTATAGTTATTCTCTGTTCTCCATGGATGACTGGTTCTGTAGTTAAGTGGGGGCATGCACAGCACTTGGCCACTATACAACACAGGGCCTGGAAGCCACGCTCATCACACAGCTCTGACTGCCCAAAGAGCAAAAGGGAAAGAAGACCAAGCCCTTCATCAGGTGCTAGTATCACCATCAAGCTTTCAAAAAAAAAAAAAAACTCAGAACATATATCCTGTATTTTTTTTCTGGGCATGTGAAGCCTATCAGTTTCTGTCTGTTCCTCCAAACTGCAAGGATCTACTGGTGTAGAAATCACCAAATCACCTCCAGCAGAGATGCTGAGGGAAAGGGGTCATTCAGCTGGGGTTCCTTGCTGCTTAATTTTCAAACTGGAAGTATCTGCAGAATTCAGCATTTCATATGTCATAGCCCAGGAAAGCTGTTGCAGCATAATTGAGCTGGCTTAATTGCATGCAGTAGTAAATGACCTTTTAAAAGCCTTTTTTCTACCACTAATTTCCATTTTTCATGGTCATTTACAACTATACTTATGATATCTTAATCTGCAGCTACTAATGAAGCTCCAAAGCAGTAGCTTTCAAGTTCCTTTGGCTGAATGATTTTTAAGCTAGATATTAATTTGCATAAGCAATTCATATAGTAAATGGATGTTAAACAATGTCATGGGGTATTCCATGCAGTATGAAGAAGATAGTTTCATAAATGTGTCATTTGTTAAAGGCTTTCTTCTAATCCTTTTTACCTAAATTCAGTAATAATACAGAAACAATTAAGTTAATACTTTTTAAGGCAGCTAAACCTTTCCTATAAACCATAATGTTAATTTGATGAATGTGTGCATTAGAATATAAAGGTTCTTAAAGAATTGTTCTGGAAACAAGACAGGCAAGTGGTCATGTACATTTAGCAGTGTTTAAGACAATACAGTTGCTTTAGGAAACAGTTCCTTGCTGCTTCTTTCTTTAGAAGCAGAATATTATTATTATTTATTTTTATTATCATCATCAGGAATTTGGCCATATGCCAGCAACATGAGGTTATGTGGCTTGAATCAGATATCATATTTCAAAATGGGTATGTGTAGCAGGAAGTAATCTTATGTGCTTCAACCAATACGTTTAATTTGTATTACAAATTGTAACATGCTTTAAACCTACAGACTTCTACTTAGGGGAGTTTTCTCTCCTTTTTTTAGGGAAAGATGTCTGCTGAAAGGTGGGAGATGAAAAAGTTCTTACAAAGTAAGAAAGGCGCCATTAGGTGAATATCTGACAGTTTTAACTGTGGAATTACTGAGAACTACAGCTTACATGAAAAATCTTCATATATCTATTAAGTTAGAATGAAAATGTAAAGTTTGCTTGTACAGTTTACAGGTCAAATATTTTTCTAATTTGTGCTTCCCCAGGTTTCTATACCAAAGCTATTCACATCACTTGCATACTTTTCCTGATCCTATGCACAGATCAGAAAATGAGACCATTGTGTAAGAACCCTTCATGTGTTGTTCGTTTTCCCGTGTTTTAAAGATTGAACGAGGCCAGTACAGCATAAATAAGCAAATAGCAAAATAGGTAATGTATTATCACTAATGTTTGGTTATCTTAGTCTGGCTTTAAATAGGCAGAAAGGGGAGGGAGCCCACCATTTGAAAATTCTGTTGACATTCATCTTAATTGTAAAGGAAAAATACACTGTATACATGTAAAGTGGATTTTCAAAATCAGGTAAATAAGTAATGAAATTGGCCTTTGACACAAATACCTTTAGAAAAAGCTATCACTTAAAAGTGTCTCATAAGAGACAAAGTATAGCACAGCCCAGGTGCCTTTCTTGTTTGTAAAACTAGCCTGAAGTCAGACTGCTGCATGTGTATATATACATATTTGCAAACACATGTATACATGGAATATGAGCATGGATAAGATGTTGACTTTCTTACTGCATCAGATAGTAATTTTTGCTTATATTAAAAAAAAAAAAAAAAAAAAAAAGAAAAAAAAAGCAAGGTCAGTGACAATTTAAGCTTCCCTAACACTTTTTTCTTCCCACCAACTAATATTAATGTACAGAGAGAAAAAAAATTACCAAAACATGACTGATGCAGTAAATAAGCTGCAAATGAAATTTACTCAGGAGTAGGGAATGGCTCCTTATTCTTTATGAAGAATTTACTTCTCTGAAATTTAATTGGTCATAAAGCAAATATAAACTTTTAACCGGGACAAGGTGAGGAAGGGGAAAATCTTTTTCTTCTTTTTAATGAACTTACCTGTTGAGTATAAGGGATGATGAAGATGGTGGGAACCAGGAGCCACCGCATGTTCCTGCACATTCAGAAGTGAAACTGGGAGATAGGGAACAGGCTGAGCTGTGTCAGAGGAAGCACTGAACACAAAGCTCTCCTCTGTCTCCTTTGCCAACCCAACTTTCCCCAGCACATGCACGAACACATACACGCATTCACACTTGAAATTCTCCTCTTCATACTGAACCAGCTTCACACTGAAGTTTTCAACTGGTCTTCTTTTCTCTGCCCACTGCTAGAATACAGATTTTCACACCCTACTTGATCCCATCCAGCTGATTCAGCCAGACTTAATTGAGGTCAGGTAGGGTGACATCTGATTCTTAAAGTCTTGGTGCTGGAAATGCAGTGTTATTTTTAACTTGTCTTTAAATCTGTATTGCAGGAATTTCTGAAATGTGAAGGGCAGAGCCCCAGATACATGTATTTTTTGAGATGGAGAAAGCAGAGTTCTTCAAAATTTCTGATGTATTGTGCCTAGAAATTCATTGCATAAAAATTCAGTCAGTACATGCTCTCCAGAGAGGGAAGGAGATGCTATAATGTGTTAAAATACTGCTACATATTCAGCACTGTTTCTTTCCGTGGCATCCTAATGGGGACACCCAAAGTATAAGGTACTTTTCCCTGAAGTATGCACCTTGTCTTGTTGCTGTGTCATGGCATTTAAGGACAAGATTGTTCAAATCTCCAAATTCCCTCCCCCTTAATACTATCAAGGTGATGTGTTTGATTTTTAGGCTAACAAGTGAGGGTAAGATAAAAGCTCCAGCCCTGCAGCAGTGGTGTTGGTGGTGCCCTGGTAAATGTTTTTCTTTCATATTTGTCCTTGCTCAGGCATCTCCTGAAGCCCAAGAGTTACTAGAGGAGGCTACCAAAGACCACATTGACACAGCAGCCATGCATGGACAGAGGCAGTAGTGGGAGTAGGGAATCAAATCCAGTCCAAACACTTCTGTTTGGCTCCTGGACTTGGAGCTCCACATGCCCTCTGTGGTTACAAATGCACCCTGAACTGCCCCTCCAAACTCTTGAGCATTTAGCTGTAAAACACTGAAAAACTGCTTTTCTTTAGCACAATCACTTTGTCACATAACTCAAGATGAAGGTCAGGCAGTACCTGCAGGGGTGGCAAGTGGATGCAGCAGATCAGTTCATTTCATTATGTTACTCTGGTGTGTGGCAGTGCAGACTGAAGCTTGTGTTTCCCCTTGAAGGCTTATGAACATAGCACAGAAGTTTCTCTAAAGTCTCTTCTGTATCCTATCAAAACATAGCTTCTTTCATAGAATCAGAAGGTAGTTGAAACTGGAAGAGGGCCCAGGGGGTCTCTCGTCCAAGCCCAGCTCAAGCAGGGTTCCTTCTGAGATCAGACTGCGTTTACTCATGGCTCTGTCTATTTGGACCTGGAAAACCTCCAAGGGTGGAGGCTGCTAAACCTCTCCTGGCAGCCTTTCAGAGGGATAATAATGAGCAATGCCGGCTGTCTGAGGACATTCCAGGTTCACTTTTCTCTTGCAGCCCCAAAGACACCCCTTTCACTCTCCAGCCTGTAAGAAGTGAGGAAGGCTGGAGGACTAGCACATCCATTCTTCTTCTTCTAGTACTACAAGGGGAGCACACAGCATTCATTTGAAACGTGTCTTTTCTCTTTGCATTGCAGAGATAAAGAATGTGACCAGTAAAGGACTGGGAATGCTCTGTGTGAGCTGGCAAAGACTGGTCTGATGTTAATAATGGTCCCCAGTCTTGGGAAATAAGAGAGAGATATTCCTGCAGGATTGCCCATTGGTTTTATATGGTGTATTTTGCTGGAATCACCTGGAGAACACGTTATCTGAGCTTTAAAGAGTGAGATTTCAAAACTGTGGTTAGAGCATAATTAAGGGGATTGATAGAAAATGTTGGGTTTGGAAGGAGTGGGAGGAATGCTCCACCCCGAGGAAGACATTCTGGTGATATAACACATTAAGATGTCATTTTAGGTGGCTGGATGAATGTTCACATGTGTGCAGATCAATCAGCATACCTCTTCAGCCTGAGAAGGGCCTGCTGCTAGGAGAACCACTCCTGCTATAGAAGGACTCAGCTCTCCAAAACAACAATGTGCTTTCATTGCCTTTCCCTAACAAATGCACTTAAGTGAGGCTGGACCTTGCAGTGCCTGCAGCACTGATCCCTGCATGCATAAGCAGCCATAAGACCACAAAGACATCAGCACTAATTCCTATGCATAAATAGTGCACCAGGGCTTTGACTACTGAGTATTGGAGTCTGTGTCTCTGCCAGTATTTGCTCTGATTTCAATAAATGGAGGCAATCTGCCCTTTTCCTCTCCTGCAGGGTTTTAGTTATTCCCCACAACTTAAGAACTAATGTTTTTAATGCCATTTCCAGACTCAGCAATAGTTTGTCTGTATGCATCCTCCTTGCCAAATCTCCCTTACAGATTTGATTACATAAAGCATCATTCATTTCCTGAACTAAACCTGCTCTGCTATCTGGTGCCATTCTAATACCACCCTGAACGGAAATGTAATTTAGTTGTATATTCAGTGACCTCTACATACTGCACACATCTCTTTGCTGAAAAAAAATCATCTTCCTGTCTGTGAAATATGCCATGTAAATCCACTGTCTTAAGAGATGGAAAAGTATGAGTTGTAAACCCATAAATTGATATAACCATGCATTCTAACTGGATACAAGGTCTTAGACAAAATGCCGGAGGTATTCATTATTGATACTTGTTGTGGGCCAGGATTTTCAATACTCCCTACTGGGCTTCATGGAGTTACTGCAAGAAAATCCATCAAAGCCAGGGTTGGGTTTGGTCGTTCCTAATAACTGGGTTTTAGTTCCAGACCCACACCAGAGCTGGGGGTTCACCTTTTGGCAGGAAGATTTTTGCACATTGTCCTGTTTCATTGTTCTTCAGGTATGGATGTTGCAAAGACACTCCTCTGTTTCAGTCAAACCTACAGTTTGTGTCTCTTCATTCAAATAAATAAACAGATGGGTAAAAAGGAATAGGAACATTATATGACAACATATTGCCCTTGGCTCACCCTGTCTCACATGCTGTTTGCTGACTTGAGTTTTGGAAGAAAACTGCCTTCTTCAAAACAGCAGTGCTCCAAAAACACTGATGGATTTTGCTAGGAGGTCTGCTTGCTATTACTGGCAACTTGGGCACACCGAGGCGCAGACATCTCCCTGCTGGGAGTGGCAGGTTTGTTGCCAGGCAGCATGGCATGCACCAGCTCCTGGGATTAGCCGTGCTCAAATGTGTGGTGAAGTTCCCAGCTGGAAGCCTGAGACCACGAGCTGTGATGGTCCTTGCAGAGGAATCACCTGCCCACCACCAATGCACCGTTGTGAGGTTCCTGTCTTCTCTGCTGGTCAGCTGCTCAGCTTTTGTAAATTTGGACTATTTTTGCTTCTCTTCAAATTGAGTTTCAGACAAAAGTTGCTCTCAAAAGTATTCCATACATCTCCTCCTGGAGCACCACCAACAACAGCACATTCTCAACAGCTGACTAAGGAACCTCTCCCAGGATGATGGGGGTATTTCCAATGAGACAGAAATTCATCTTATCCTGCATACTCACTTCAGCAATAGCATGTGCAGCACCGAGGTTGCTGTTGGAGAGGTAGAAATGCTTTGTGCAAGGGCAACTATACCATGTTCCTCACAGCGTGCCACTGTTTCTGTTTCAGCTGTTCTCTGCTTCCAAAATAATTCATAAAGTTTCTCTGAGCTATAACAGGCGACCTCACATATGACAGTATTTACATGCATATTTAAGACTAGGTCCCATTTTCAAAACTGATTTATGCAGGTAGTTGTCTGTATCCTATTTTCTTCTAACACGCCTTAAACGCAGGAAAGATGCCATAAAGTGCTTGTATTCCAAAGCACACATCTCTAAAATGTGAAACTAGGAATTCTCAGAATTTTTTAAGTTGAATATTTGTCATCAAAGACAGCCTGAGTTTCCATGTTTCTGGTTAACAGGTCATTTAAAAATATCTGTACACACTGAACAGGATCAGTCTGTGCTCTGCCTAGCTCTGTGGGGCAGGCTCTGTGCAATCAATCCGGAAAGGCACGAGCTGCAAAAAGCAAGCCAAAGTGAAGGAATAAAAATGAAGACAAACTGGGGGCCCACCGAGCAAGGCAAAGAAGCTGAACTGCAGCGAGCTAACCTATTACACGCTGGAATTGGCCGATTCTGCACACAGTGCGGCAGCTCTGCTTCTTTCAGTTTGATGCTGAATTCACTATGACAGAATAAACTCAGATCAGCGCAAACTGTATTTGCAAATCAGCTTTTCTCCTCATAGCCCAACTCTGTGGGCACCCCAGTGCTGGCAGCTCCGGCCTCCCCTACCTTTATCCCCCAGAGCTGGGCTGCTTTGCAGGGCAGGCAGACAGCTGCTCCTCAGGGAGAAGCGCCATCAGGATAAATATTTGAGCAGGACAGCTAATCCTACATGTCAGGAGACATGTGAATGTCCACTGAGGCTTGTACAGTTCTCAAAGGGTTTCCATTGTTAGTTATAGGAGGAAATAGTAAAGCAGCTTCCCAAACTCCTGAACTATTTACACATGTAGTTGTGTGCCAGCTAAAAAACATTCCTGATGGAAATGAAAATAAGGTCCTAGTCAATATCCTACCCAAACCTTCCTTGAGGGTAAGGCATGGGAGAGACACAAAAAAAGAGTTGTATTTTTTCCCAAGCCACCAGTTGGGGATTTTTTTTTTTTTTTAATTTTATTCTCAGTACATACTTTATTAACTTTTTTTTTTAAAAATCCCACATAAATACTGGTGCGGTCACATTGCTATCTCCAGATTTATTTTGGCACTGAAACACAAACTCATCTCTTTGGTCTACAGGAAAAGTATATGATGTTCTCTACAGACCCAGAAACACACATAAATTGTAGGGCACTGGCCAGATCCGGTGCCCATTTTTCATGCCAAATGTCTCAGGAAGTGAAACAGCTT